AGAGATATTACTGTGTCAGAAGGCTTCTGCATGTACTAGAAAAAATTAATTAGAAAGCAACCCACTCCCAAGTAAAGGCTGGGGCAAATTATTTAAATTAAAGAAAATCCAAAATCCTTAAGTATCTAGGAGTGAATGAGAAATAGACTAATTACATGGAAGTAAAAACGGGCTGGTTTGAGATTTCTATCACACAGAATTAGATGTAAATAATGACACAAGCAAACAAAAATCATAGACAAATGTTTATAAATGTGACAGATTATAGGAAATAGCAAAGAGGCAAAAAAGAGAGAGACAATGTAAAATAAGATGACAAAAACAGTGCCAAGTACATCTGATAGGTCAATAAGTGAATATGGGGCAGTTCAAACTATTAAAGGAAAATAAATTTCTGATTAGCTTTACATTCAAATCTAAGCAATCTATAATGGATATAACTAAAAAATATTAAAATAAAAGGATGGACAAGCAATCCTAAACAAATGAAGCATAAAATAAGACAATATGACAAAGAATTTTTTATGGACTTAGTGTATAAGCTACAATAAAAATGGAAGGACCACAGTAAACAGTTACTTGAACTTTTATACAAAAAACCTGCTTTATAAAGTCACATTTTGTTTCTGTATTTAGCTTTACCTCCTTTCAGTACACAGAGTTTTACTTGATCCTGTACCATGGTTGTACATGGTACATCATTATTGTACATCATTATTGGATGCACCGTAAAAAGTCAACAAATGAAGAGGACATTTAAGTTGCTTCAGGTTTTAGTTATTATGAAAAGTGACCTTATGGGCATCCCCTGCATTTGTCTTAACAACTGGTAGTCCTCAGCCCACAGATGGCATTGAAAGCCATGGTCCCTGAGAGTGTAGGTAGAGGAGAAAAGGGATCACAGGGTAGGTTCTGGACACTCCAGTGTTGAGAAGCCAAGAGATGAGAAGATGTTAGGAATGGAGACTGAGAAGGCACAGCCAAGAAAGCAGAAAAAAAAAAAAAAGCCAAGAGAGAGTGTGATCCTTAAAACCAATGGGTATAACAGATTTAAGAGTGAGTGAGCAACACTGTCAGCTACTACTGAGAAATCAAGCCAAGAATTGTGATTCTTTAACAACAGCAGTAACAAAAATCCCTATCCATGTTTTCCCAATACATGTGAAGGAGAATCCCTGCCCCAAAGAGGACACATGCCCTCCAGTCTGCTGTAAAATCCTATATGAAATAACTTTTACTTCAATTGTATCCCTACCCTCCCCGTTCTCAATTACCAGAAGGACTTCTTCCTAATTTTCAGATGGCTTCCAACTACCCACAGTAGTGACTCACATACCAATGCACACCCAAATCACCTGCACTTCTAGCAGGTTCCCAGGTGATGCTGATGCTGTTAATCTGTGAACTACACTATACTTTGAGTAGCAAGGACCTGAAACATTCTCCTCCTCTTTGCTATCTTCTATTCATTCTTCAGGTTTAAATTTAAGTGTTGCTTCCTCAAACATCTCCAGATAACTGGGACTGTTATATGTTTCCATAGCACACTTCACTTTTCCAAAGTAATTGTCATATTCACAATAATTAACTCATCATCTTTATTTTTGTGTCTCCAGTTTCCCTGAGGGCATAGATTATGCTTCTCTTGTTTTCAGATGTTTCTCTAGTGCCTACCTCTATGCCTGTCATCCCAGCTACTTGGCAATTGTAAATAGGAGAACTGTGATCCACACCAGCCTGGGCCTAAATGGGAGACCCTATTCGAAAAATAACTAAAGCAAAAAGAACTAGGGGTGTGGCTCAAGTGGTAGAGCACCTGCTTAGCAAGCACAAAGCCCTGAGTTCAAACCCCAATACTGCCTCTCCCCCCCCAAAAAAAAATCAGGTCAGAAAATAACATACTTAAAGCATTATCCCAGTTTTGTTCTACATGTACTTATGAAAGAAAACATTTAGAATTCTATATTTTAAAATGTTAACATCTCTGAATGGCAAGATTTTGAGTAATTGCTTTCTTTTTGCATTTTCTTGCATGTTTTTGTATAATCATTAAAGTATTTTTGTAATAAAATTAAAGATTTAATTCTGACACTTGACCTTTGGTTTCCCAAGCCTTGTTACTGTTTTTATGTAGAGAACTAAGGATCTGTCCACATTTTTTTAAAAAATTGACCAGGAATTTCTTCTGTGATTTGAAGTCAAGTTGAGACTTAAATCTGGAATTTATTCCCTATGCATTGCTCACCACCCATTGCTCATGGGTATGAGGAAATTCTGTTTGAGAAAAAACAGCCAATGTAGAACAACATCTTTGCCACCAATTTTGTCTTTATTAATGTGCATAACAAAACACACAGGCAGTTTTACACAGACAAATTAGTGAAGTAGAGCATAAATTCACAATTAGATTCAAAATGCTGGAACTTAAGGTTGTGCTCTGATTTGGATATGATTCATGTGTATTCCCCAAGAGTATGTGAGAGCTTGGTCCCCAGTGTGGTGATGTTAAGAGGTGGTGGGAACTTTAAGAGGTAGAAACTACTGGGAGGTCATTATTGGTCCTTCCCTGTCTCTTTGGCTTCCTATCTTATCATGTGATCTCTCACTCCCAAATGCTCCTGCTGTTTGATGCCATTCACCATGAGGACTTCACCAGAGCTGGGCAGACATCTGTACCATGCCTTTGGACTCTAGAACTGTGAGCTAAACAAACCTTTTCTGTTGTAAAGCACTCAGTCTTGGGTATTTGGTAAGACACTATTATAGTGAGAGACTAATGCAGTCAACATTTCAAATCAGTGGGGAAAGTGAATTTATTGAATAAATTATATTGTACAATTACTAGTCATTTGAAAAAAAATAATGCTTATTCTTCTAAATAAAATAAATTAAGATGGATCAAACATTTTTCCAAAGAAGACCATAAAATCACTAGAAAAAATATAAAAGAATACAATTAAATATCAGTGTAGAAAAGATCTAAGAATGACACAAATACAAAAATGATCACTTGTAAATCAATAAGAAAAAAAAAGGAATAACAACTGCACAGATATGAGCTGGCAATTCTCAAAAGGAGAAAGACAAATAACAGAAAGATACTTAAAAAATAGTCACAACCTTATTAGAAGTGACTTACAAAATAAAAACAATAAAAAGATGTTTTCTTCATCATATTAGAAAAATATCAAAATGATTGGCAATAGTTTGTCAAGAGTGCAAGGAAATGAACAATGTCATGAATTGTCATAAACAGTATTGCTGTAGCTTGGTTAAATAAGTAAATATAATGAAATAACTTAAATGTTTACACATCACCTTAAGTTAAAAAAAAAAACTAAACATTAGAATCCAAGTATGGTTTTAGCACATACATTTACAAAAGATGCCTGGAAGGCTGCTCACCAAACTGTTAACATTAACTTATTTCTACTTAAACCCTTTTAATGATTTCCCCTGCTTTGAAACCTCACATCCGAAATTCCATATTTGACAAGCATTTGTCCAGAATGCACAGGACCCTATGTTCAAACCCCAACACTAAAAAAAAAAAAAAAAATCAAGAATTCTAAATAAATGTCTATAAAACATCTCTATGTAATAAAAAAATCATTTAAAGCAAAATATACCAACATGAAATATCTTATAGTTCTCATTAAAATTGCTATTTAACACAAGAAACTTAAGTTTGAGTCGTACTTTACTACTTCAAATAAATTTAAGCATACCTTACCATTCCACTAAAATATCATTGGCATTTGCAAAAAATAACAATTTACAGAATTAGAAAACCACTAAAACTATCTAGGCACAAGTGTTATTATAATTTGGAATTAACTATTCATTGCACAGGAAAAGTAAAAGCCACCAAATAAAAGTTTATTCGTTTTATGTTTCTTCAGAACTCCTTATTAACATAGGAAAAATTATACATTCCCCCAAATTTGTAGGTTCAGCAGACAGATTTACTTTGAAAAAGTTAAGCTGTGTTTAGCAAGTTAATCCTCAAAAGAGTGATGCTAGAGAATTAATTTTCAGTACTTAAATTAACTTATTTGGTATTTATGAACAAATTGCCAAAGTTATTGTCAAATAGAGTGTTTACTGGGGAAAAAAAAGTGAGGTCTACGTGAAGAAAAATTTGGAATTGGTAAGAAACCAGCATTTTTTTTTAACATTTTGCATGTATAATAGAACTAAAATTCCCCAAAATGATGCTTGACTTGCAGATAATGGAGGTGATTCAGAACAGTACAGTTTCAAATCTGGGGATTTATTCAGTGGTAGAGTGCTTGCCTAGAATGTCCAAAGCCCTGGGTTCAGATCTCATCACCACACAAAAGTGTAGAGTCTTGTGACTGTTAGGTGACACTTAGGCCATTAATTTCTACTCCCAGCTTTAGAGTTTTACAGGACATTCCAAAAAATGTCATGCTAAAGTGCTACTTTCTACCAGAGATGCTGAAGCAGTTTTGAAATTTCTAAAATGCTTCACATGTATTTTTTCAAAAAGTTAGCAAACAAAACTGAAAGGTCTTAGATACATAAAATGACTGACAAAAGAATTCTATTAAAAGAAATTTTGACTGAAATAAGAAATAAATATGGTAATAGCGTGAATTCCTTCTTTTAAGGATTCAAATAGAAATTGTGGTTACTGAACACCATGAAAATGTGGTAATTTTAAACCATGAAAAAACACAGTAGAGTGCTCTAATTTTTACTAAAAGTCAGTCTGAGAAAATGTGTTCAGAATACACCATGAAAAGAGTAGGTAAGTCACTAACAATGTTGTTGTAGTGTAATTAAAAGTCATTTTAAAAATATTATTCTCATATGTCTAGAATAGTTAAAATTTAATATTAAAAAGGTTCTATATAACTTACTATTTTTAATATTCTTAAACATATAATAGATATTTTTTCAGGATTCCTTTTCTCTGTCTCTCTCTCTCTCAGAACTTCTTCGACAATTTTAAACAATTACCAGAGAACTCTTACCTAGCTCTTTGCTCTTCTGTATCTATAAAGTGATCACTGAATAAAGATTGTCTGAATATTCCCAGCAGATTATTGTGGCTTTTCTTGTCAGGGGTGTGGTACACACGAGAAGCCAGGCACAGGTCAAGGGGCAGCTCCTGGGCTGGCATGGTGGTGCACAGGTCATGAATGTTAGGGGTCAGGTACACCTGTGGGATTCTGCAATAGAGGAAACAGTGAGCTTCTTTCATTATTATGTGGTCTAAGACATGAAACATATTTATACTGACAGTTCAGTTCAGACTCTAAGAGGGCGCCTAAGTGTAGAAGATAATAATAATGATATAATAATATCTATAATAATAGTTCATGATAGATTTAATAGTACAATTTCAGGCTTTTGCCCAGAGCTTCAAAGTCACATCCAACTGCCTCTAACTATCTCAACCTACAAGTCTTAGAGCTATCTCAGAATCAGTAGGTCTCATTATCATCCTACAGCTAGCCTCTTCTCTCCTGAACTCTGTAACTCCACCCAGGAGCACCATATCCAGCCATTGTGTGTTCCTCTGTTCAAATGCTCATGTCTCTGAAGAGGTGTAGCAATATATATAATACATCATCCAGAAAGTCCTCAATGGAACACTGTCCCTCTAAGGGAGAGCACAGTGTCTCTTCCAAGGGAAGCCTGTCCCAGCACTCTCCTCTGGAATTTGCCTTCTCCTGTCTTTCCAAAGTAAGAAAGATGGTATGATGATCTGCTTTGCTGGTGTCAATGCCACTGCCATCCAATCAACAAATATTCATTGGACATCCACTACATGCTAGGCGCTTTGGGCACGTTTTCTCTAACTCTTACAGCAAAACTGTATTTGAGATATTATTTCCCTGACTTTGGAGATGGCTTATTTTGAATAGGTCACAAAATTTAAAAGCAGCTACTGGATCCAAACACAATGTTGCTGTCTATAAGCCAAATTTCTTTCCTGTTGATGCCTATCAAGGACTTCTGAATGGAAGCGGCCTTTATCCAGTATTACTCCATCCCCATCTCACTGAAGGTATTCTCTTACATTAGCCAAGTAGTCTTCTTTTCATCAAATCACACCAAATGAACTTAGGGGTTCATGCTCTCTGAAGACCTCCAAACCACAGCTGGAGTGTTGATGACCCTTCCTGAAATTGTTCATCCACTGTGAGCTTTTTAAAGTCTGCCTTATGATGGAAAGTCTCCCAGCTTTCCATCTTTCTCTCAAATTTATCATGTCATTGCTTTTCCTTCCCCAGGTCCCAAACTGGGTTTGGCTTCTGTTTCAACACTGGAAAAGTCATCTTCAGAGCTTCAGTTATTCCCTCTGTACTGAGTGCTCCCAAATCTAAACTGTTATCATTATCTACCTAGATTCCTTACCTTCAAGATACAAAACACATCTTTGATTCCTCACTCCCACCTGCAGATCCAATACAAAGCAGGTTTCTCCCCTGCACAAGGTTGCTCAGGTGTGTTCCTTTTTTGCTCTTACTGCCAGCACACCCCAGTCAAGGTCTTCTTCACCTCAGCCTCCACAGGCAAGGTTTTGCAAGCTGGGTTGAACACTAAACCCTATTTCTTTTCTCCTCTGCAAAATCCTACCAGATCCATCTTCTTTAATTACTCCTTTACTCAGGACACTGGTTCTTTGCTGCTTAAGGACTCTGTCTAACTTTTCTCTTAAATTTCAAGGCATTGGTTGGACTTTAGCATAGAGATTAAGAGTATAGTTCTAATCCATGAATGACAGCATATGCTGTAATCCCAGCTACTCTGGAGGCTGAAGCAGGAGGATCATGAGTTTGAGACCAGTCTGGGCAAAGCTAGTGAGACCCTATTCCAAAAAATCAAAATGGCTAGGGACAAGGCTCAAGTGGTAGAGCTCTTGACTATTATGCATGAGGCCCTGGGTTCAATCATCAGCACTTGATAAAAAAAATTATAGTATAGTTCTAGAGTCAGAGTCAGACTGCCTGAATTCAAATCCTATTTAAAACTCTCAATGGGTCATAAGCAAGTCTGGCTTTAAGAAAAAAGAGTGCATGCATTTTAACAGTCTCTCAATTTGAAGACAAGTCACAGGACTAGACATTATTCAAACAATACCTTGAGCACAGACTTTTCAGCAAAGTTTGCATTTTTTCTTTTTCTACTTCATTTTTTTACTTGTTTTACTTCCCCCTCTCCTTATTTTTTTACAAATGTTTCTTTTCATGCATTGCCCTAGGCTTGTGTTGCTCATTTTGACCCTTTATCTAGTGGGTCAGTAGTCTGTCTACTGACTGCTCCAATATGTCTGGAATACCTCAGACAGCAGCAGAGTATGAAGAATGTAGTTGGGGAGTTGGCTGTGCCTGGATCGGAATCTTGGTTCTCTAACACTCATTTCTTTGAAAGTCTTTAGAAAAATTAGAATAAAAATTCCTAGCTCTTCCCTAGGTAAGAACCGATAAAAATAATACATATCATTCCCAGACTGTGGAAGTTTCTCAAGTAATGCTTGCTTTACTTTCATTGTTGCTACTAATTTACACTGCACAGCACCTAACCTATTGCTAGTCACACCATGCACATTTTTCCATCACTTATAGAGAGGTTTATGGCCTTTCCAAAACAGCATAGAGCCCAACAAAAACAGGACATGAAATTTGTAAACACTGTTGTAAAGAGGAAAAGAGAGGTAAATCTAAAGCATTTAGAAATGCGTGAGACAGAGAGACCTAACTGGGGAAGTGAAGAGGAGTGCCTAGGAAAACAGGGCTCTGGGAGATCTGGGTTCCTATCAAAAGGAGGGGGAGGGCTTTAAGAAAGAAGACAGGGAAAAAGAGAGAGAGAGTGAAGGAGAGGGACAAAGGGTGAGCTCCCATATCAAGCTACTTGCACTGTCATTCTGTTCTGCCTTGGACAGGTCCTGGCTAGTGGAATGTGCTTGAGATTACATTACTGATTTTATTTTCTTTAAAAAGCACTGCAACCAATCTGAATCCTAATGCTCTAACAACATAGATTAGCCAGTGAACCTCCCTTGGTTATTGAGCTAAATAACAATATCCCACAACAGAGGACTGAATTCCCAAGAAAACAATTGAATTTAAGGGCTGGCTAATCACAGTGAGAAAAGTTAGTTTAAAAATTGATTAAAGAAAAAGGAGCAGAGGATTAAATTCTCTTGGAGACATTTTTCCAAGATTCTCTATTATAATATAAATGTTATAAATATGTTTTTCTTCCCTTGAATTTCATTCTTCCTTTTCTCTAATGGAAATTTCTAATTTACGTTTTTAACAAATTAAAACAGCACTAAATATATCAATAAGATCTACAAATATTTTTGGTATGCTCAAGAAAGGCTATGTGTTTTTATAGCACGCTCTCCTTAAGCAGGACTATTTGTCATTCTTTGAAACACTAAGACGTAAAAAAGAAAAGACCCTCTCTCTGTGTGTGGCCACACTACTTTGCTTAATGCACTAAATACAAGGGTTTTTTAGGGGAAAAAAATGAAGAAGTTTCTGCTTCATTGATAATCTGACAGTAACTATTTATTGAAAGTAAAATACTTGTTGTCTGCTGTCACTATTTGTTTTAATACATAATCTTGCTAACTAAATGAGCTTAAAGCAATGCAGATAAGCAATGGCATGTCACAGGGTCACTTAAATGCCAATTTGACTGTTTCATCAACTCTGGAATTCTTTTCCCATGAGTCTATTCTCAGCTACTAAGTTGTGAGTAATATCCATTTACAAAGTTTAGGCCGGCCATAAAAGAGGTTGTCTTCCATATCCAGCGCACTTTTCAGTGCCCTAAGCAACAACAAAAGCTAATGATTAAAGCTTCTCTAAACCCCCATAAAGAATTAAATGAAGGATAATCTAGAATAAACCAACCCATAAAAACCTGCTAACAAAATTAGGAGAAAACCAGAGTTTCAACAAGGTGAATGGCAAAAGGAAAACCATCATCTAAATTGCACACTATTGTTCAAAATGTGATGTGTAATAAAAAACTCCCATTAAAAACATGGGTGGAAGGGATTATACATAAAGCAAGAGTAGAGAGAAATGGATTACCATGTTGATTAGCCTATAGACATTTTGTATTGGATTATCTTGTATTTTATTATAGCAAAATTAACCAATATAATAAGCAGGCATTACAAATCAGGCATTACAGTGAGCAAGAATGTCAAATCTAGCATACTAACTTAATTTTCTTTAGTCTCATAAAGAGCTATTTGTTATTACAGTTATTATTACATTTTACAAAGTACATTGGTCAAAAGCATGACTAGAGGAAGCATTGAATAACACATCCTAACTGTAAAAACTTCCCTCTGAGAAGGGCTAACTCAGATCTCATATATGAATTTCTGAAGCATTCAGTTTTCCTTTCAAAAAATGCATTTTCATTACCAAACTATTAAATGACTGCTCTTCAAACAGTAAAATTTGTAAATTTAAGGAAGTTACTTTTCAGTTGGTTTTTGATCACAGCGAGGTTTTAAAGACTTTCTCCGTCTCAATGGAAAAACTACTGGTTTACTTTTTTGTCGTCGCTTAAATTCTTTTCCTTGGATTTGCAAGAATTCCGATGAGATCACCTTTAAAAATATAAAGCATGCTGTTAAGGAAAGTTGTAATGGTGAAAATTAGATCTTTCTCTCATATTTAATGATCCATCTCATATTTAAACTCCTGGTTTTTATGTATGTTTAATAATGGAATATAATTCCTAACAGTGAGCTATGTCCCTCCCAGCCCATTCCTAAATTTTACATGCACACCTTCATGACAATAAAAATATTATTGTCATATTTACTTATAGTATTTTTCATTTATTATCTTAGAAGTACTAACAAATAGAAGATTTTTTTTCCCTCCATAAAGCTACTCTTCTTTTCTTTCTTTCTCTTCTCTTTTTTTCAATTTCAGTGCTTGGAGTAGAACCCAGGGTTTCACACATACTAAGAAAACACTCTTCCATTGAGCTACATCCCATCCCAATCTATTCTTCTCGACTGTTTCTTTTTCTTTTTTTTTTGCCCATGCCCCACCTTGATTGACATTTTTAATAGAACTTACTTTTATTATCCTTAGTTTCTTACAGTTTGACATAACTTTTGGTTACAAGGAAAAACTAAAAGGAACTTTAATGCTTTGTATTATTATTCTGAGCAATTTGTATTTCTTATAATTCTACTGCTTTCTACTTCTATTGCTTGGTAAAAACCACATACATTCTGTCCCATAAATAATGGCCTTTTAGTAACTATAAGTATTGGGAATGTTGTTTTCCAAGATTTCCTAGAAATTTCACAGAATTTATAATTGTTCCTCTAAAAATTTTTTTTCTTAGGTTGCTCTGTAGTTTTAGCTTTAAGGAAGAAAGCAGGGAGGCTTCCCTGGAAAAGGCAGAGGGATATGTCTGAATAAGTAGGAGGGGGCTAGATAAAGGAAAGATTTCATAAATTAAGTGCGGGATTTGGGCTTGATTCAGTAAAAAGGAGTGAGCTATTGCAACCTCTCGGGTAAGGAAGTGACAGAGAATGGTGAAAGTTCAAGGATTACAGAGCATTCCACCTCAGGTGACTCAGTTCATGTCTGAATTTCCTCTGCAGTATCTCCACCACATGGCTATCAGCTGGCTCAAACACACAGGAACAGAGACTGTGGATACATATGAAGTCAGCCACTTTCTCTTTGAAACTCTTTCAGGAGTTACAATTGTTGTTTGTTTCTTTACTTCTAAGCCTAACAACTTTCATCTACCAGTCCCAATTCAGACCTCAGGAACCACATAGGCCCAACCTAGCGCTCTTCTAGTCCACAGATGGTGAAAATACTTGAAGAAAACTGACTCCCCTGGGCCTGCTTTTCCCCCCAGATAAATATCGCCATCCTTTCAACTGTACCTGACATGACATTGTTTCTGAAATACTGTACTGTGTCATCTTGAATTTTCTCTTCCAAACACTCTAATTTGTCAGACTTTCTCCGGAGTTGAACACTCAGCTCTGACCCAGTATTTGAGGTGTAATATTATCAGATCATCCAGAAAAAAAGATGGTCCTCTCTTAGGACACATGTCACCAATACAGACTACAATTGCATTTGTCTTCCTATCACAAAACAACATCATTGCTTAAAACCCTGAATTCTTCCACATTTGTTACTGTTAAGTCTTGTCATCCCATAACTATAGTTTGTGGGCCCAAAGGCAGAAGAAACTTACATACACTTAATCCAATGAAGTTTCATTTGAGAGCTGACCAACCAAATTTTACCAGTCACAGTTTGGATATTACCTGCAAATCCAATCAATAAATTGTCCATATTCTCACATATGTTGAAGTGGACATAGCCCTGTAGCACTCCACTAAGGGATGTCCATGCAGTAATCGAGCATTCTTTGTATAACTGATTACAAATGCATCCAGCAGTTCACCTAACTGCAGTCTCATCTGAAGAACTGTCAGGAGGCTTTTATAAATGGTCTGTGGAAGTTCAGAGGGTAACAGCAATCCCTGATATTTATTGAGTTTTCTGTGTGCCAGATATCATTCTAATGCACACTATTGCAGAATCTAAATACAATCCTCACAACAACATCACGTGATAGCCACTGTCATTATCCTCACCTAATAGATGGACAAGCAGCTTGGTAGTTTGCCCAAGGTCACGCCGCCAATAAAGGAGAGAGAAAGAATTCCATCCCTGCAAATCTGGCACCAGAGCCTGTGATCTTCCCCTGATACTCTTATGTTGAACAGCACATCTAACACTTATTTCTGATATTTCGTCTAGAAATTGTAGAAGAAATGAGGCTGGTCTTTCATGGCTTGTTCTTAAGAAATCCATGCTTCAAGTGGTTACCTCTTCTTTTTATAAGGGTCAAAACACAATTCTTTTAATAAGTTATTAATCATTCTAAAGTTTTTCTCAAAACCAGTGCATAGATTGCAGAAATAAAAACCTTTACCCTTAAAAAGTGAAAGATTTGAAGTTGCCAGTCTCCAGGCTTCTAGCTCCTCCCCCACTGCAACTGCTCTTCAAAGTTGCTGCTCAACAGGTGAAGTGTCATCGATCTGAGTCAACAGACTCAAATATCTAAATTAATTCTTTGGTGGAAGTGGGGTTTGAACACAGGACTTCATGCTTGTTTGGAAAGCATTTCTGCTTGAGCCACACCTCTGATCCTTTTTGCTCTTGGTTAGTTTGAAGATAGGTTTTGCTTTTTGCCCAGGCCAGCCTGGACCACTGTCTTCCCATTTTACACTTCTTGTCATCACTGAGATGACAGGTGTGCTCTACCACTCCAGCTATTGGTTGAAACGGAGTCTTATGAACTATTTGCCTGGATTAGCCTCAAACCAGAATGCCAAGGATCTCACCTCCCAAGTAGCTAGGATTACAGGCATGAGCCACCAGCACCTGGCTTAAGTTAACTCTTAAAACCTTTTACAAATCTTGGGATTCAAGGGATTTTTTAAATTCAATTCTTCTTTTCTTTCTAAAGAACACTTTCCACATCAGATTTAAGAAGCAAAATATGAGTGTATCAGCTTCCTTTTGACTCTGTCATACTTCTATTTAAAATCTCAACCTTTTCCCAAAAATAAATTAAAGCTGCTCTGTCATCTGTTGTCATTACACCACCATTCATCCATAATGACAGAGTTGTCTTCCCCCCACCCACCGTCCTTTGCTCCAAAACAAACATGAGAATTTCCTTTTTTGTTCTTTGCATTATTCACAAGCCTCAACTCATTCTGGATCTCAGCCTTCTTAGTATAATTTTTATAGCCACATGACACCTTTATTCTTATTTTTGTATATGTACTTTTCTTTCATCTTGAATATTTTTAAAACTCTGAATACAGTAGATCATTTATAATTGTTTTGTGAGAAAGCAGGTGGGATTTAGAGCATCCCACACCTCTTAAACTTCCTTCCATTTAGAATCTTAGTCATATGATCAAACCTAAATTTCTTACAGACTGACAATTTCTCTTCTAAAATATCTTCAATCCTGTCACTGGCTATTGGGCCAGCCACTTCTTCACAAAGTTGCTTTTATTTCTATCTAATCTCTTTTCTGTTGTTGGTAATGATGTAGTCCAGCATATCAATAACCCTCATCATATCTGTGAGCTTTTAAGAGTAGAAATGGCCAGTAGGACAGGAATTGTCCAAATTCTCTACTGGTTTGCTGAAAGAGATCTTCCAGCACCTGAGCAGTTAAAATCCTCCATTGCTCCTTTACTGTGTGTCACTGCTAGATCTAATGGTTGGTTATGTCAGAAAGTCTTGTCCCTTGGATCTGTCCTGATTTGCTGGGGTACACTGCTCCTCATTCCTGTGCCAGAGACACTAGACACTAACCTTATGGACTACACAGAGGGTTAAACTTCATGGGTAATGGTTTATCATGAAATGGTAACACAAATAAACAAATATAGGATTCTTGGTGACAATGTGTTGAGTGAATCACGGAAATACTTACTGTGCTAGTTTTTATGGCATTTCTAATGTGCACCACAATATCCCACAACAACGAAGCATGAAATTTTCAGACATTCTCTCCTCAAAACATTTCTGGGGACTGGTGGAGTGACTCAAGCGGCAGAACACCTGCTTAGCAAGTGTGAGGCCCTGGAGTTTAAGCCCCAGTGCCATCAATTAAAAAAAATTCTGGTTTCAGCTTAAGTGTCCTCTTTGTATATCCTCCAAGTCTCTCTAGCCAAACCATTCTTCTTAATTTTGCAATGGACACTCTACTCCTAATCATTTTTGCAGCAGAGAGTCTATTCTTTTGATACAGGGTCTCAGTGTATAACCCCAGTTGGCCCTAAACTTGCAACCCTCCTGCCTCAGTCTCAGGAGTGCTGGAACTGCAGGCATCTGTGCTTTCGTACTTAACCAGACATCTGTTATTTTTTGTTATGAAAGGGCAGTGTGTCAAAGCAGCAAAGAATGAAGATCCAGAATTAGACAACTGCAGTTCAAGTCCTGCCTCGACAACTTAAATACACAATTGCACTGGGGCAAGTTGCACATCTTCTTATGATGCAGTTTTTCATCGATAAAATGAGAGTAATAGTAGGGATGCTATTGGGTTAAACAAGATAAAATATGTAAAACATTTAGTACAGTGATTGGTTCATGATAAACACTCAATTCTAGTTACCTTGGGAAGGAGCTGTCTCTTTTAACTAAAAGCAAATAATTTCTGCATAATTTATTAATAATATTTAATAGCAGCCATAATGAACCAAAAGAGTTAACAATACAGGACTTTTCTAAGGACGGGTTTAATTTTCCAACAGGACATGACATGTAAGCCACTGTCCACAAAATCCATTTCATTCTTTGACACACTGAATACCTAACCATTTGTATCTTATGCCCACGTTTATTTCCAAAATCCTAATATTCAGGCAGCAGAATAGATGAAAATACTATCTCTGTGTCCCCAGACTAACATTTTTTCATCAAGATGCCATAGATTCTAGATGCCTAGAAAGTGTCAGTCTAAACACATGATTCACCTGGATATGAACAATGAATGGATTCACTTAGCCTTGGCAGACTTCATATCTCAGTCCCTGTTTCTGAAAGGTGGCAGGGCTACTGGTGAATAAATCACAACCACAAGATAAATCCTTTCTCATTGGAAGCAGTGCTGGATTTTCTCTGGTAAACGATCACTTGTGAGTCTCTCGTATTAACTATTACTCCCAGAAGGTCAACAAGCTAGTGTCAAACAGGATGAACCTAAGAAAGCAGGGCTTGAGAAAGTAGGGCTTGGAAAACCAGGGAACAAGTGCACTAATCCAGACATAAGGTTACCAGGACCCAGACTAAGATGGGGACAACTGGAAAAAAATAAGAAAAAAATATATTAGCAATAAATATTGGAGACTGATTATATGTGAAAGGCAAAGGGAGGGATGGTTTTTGAATTGAGAGTCACGGGCAAATGCTGTAGAGCTAGTAATGATCAATTGACTTGGGTAAAGCACAGGAGGAATGTAATCATGGGGAGCCAAGGAAAGAGAGAAAGAGGGGTGACCAGGAAGGCTGTTTACTCAAGAAGGGCTCCCTTCTGAATCAATCAGGTAGAGGATTATCTCTGGTGATAATCAAGATGACATGCTGGGCTTCAGGGAAAGGGGTTTTTTGAAATCCTAATTATAAATTTGTATTTTCAAATAAATTTATTTATTTAAGTCAAAAAGTGACTGACTCAGCTGAAAGTTGAGTAGGGTGATATGCATATATGGCAAGAATTATGAAAATGATACATAAAGAAAATAAATCTGGGAAACATTTTCACAATAGGAAAAGACTTAGGAGTTAGGATAAACCAAAATGGGGCAAAGTTATCAAGGCTGCAATGTTCACCCTTCCTGACCCCTGGACTGCAGGCAGTTCCTGACTCCCTGGAGATAGTACATACAAGACTCTTGGTCAATTTCGGAAAGATCTGAGATTCCTTCTTTATTTGAAAATCTGTCTTTCCCTCCAGAATTGCAATTAGGGTTGATACTAAAAGCTCTCAAAAAAAAAATTATCTTTCTCTAAATGGACAATTTTAACTTCTGAGGCTGCTTTTGAGGGTGAAACCTCTTCCACCACATGCCTTGGTCTTTGCCGGGATCACTATTTCCAACATAAATGTTTTGTTTTGTTTTGTTTTTACCTTTAACGATACCCTCTTAGGTGCTTTTAAGTCGCTTTCGGGATGCCCATCTTCCGAAGGCTTACTTGACTCCTCTGCTGGCTGAATTTCTTCAGTTTCCTGAGGTTTAAATACTGTGCTTTCTCCTTCCACAGCCTCCCACTCTAACACATCCTCCTGTACGATCTGGAAAACACTTGACGTCTCTTCTGGAAGCAACTCAGCCATACTCTGTTAGAAAAAGTAAACACACAGAGTGCTCTTTTTATCTGTCTTTCCAAAGCCTTCAGTTATGCAACCTTTTCTATCTGACAACAAAATGAATATGAAAATGCTTATTTAAAATCAAGCAGAGGTAGTAAGTTTCCTTTGCAGATTTAAAAAGAAAAACTTGAATTGACTTAAGAAAGTGAAGGCTGGAAAATTATTTTCCCTGTTCTTTGCTTCAGAAAATGTACCTACTCCACAGTTGGTATGCATGGACTGTAAGGAAGTAGGGAGGCTCAGGTCAAACCCTGACACCACCCAGCACTCACAGAGGCAAGCTAGTGTACATTCCATAGAAAGCGCTGCTGAACAGTTCTCACTTTCATTCTCCCAGGTGGCTGGAAGGTCAGCCTGGGGTCCACTGAAACACTGGATCCCTGCCCAAGGTTCTCCGGGCTGGAGAAACAGGATTCCTGCCTGGCATCTACTTTTCCAGAAGCCCAACTTCTGTTCCTTGGGAAAAGCTGAGCCAGGCCTCAGGAAGGCCACTGGACACCACAGCTCCATCCTAAGCCCAAGTGAGAAATCCTCATGAAATGTCTATGCCTATTTTGTACTCTTCAAAAGTTATCTTATTAACTTATATTTGTATCTCTCCAAATCCTTATCTTACTAACTTATATTTGTATCTCTCCAAATCCTAAGGAAAATATCTTTATGGCCATATTTGGGTATTAAGAAATTTAAACCATGATTATTTGGGATTAGAGAGCACTGGCAGTTAAAATTTCATTGTCTGGTTGGCATAAAATGACTTTAAGATGTAATTATGTGTAAGTACATGTAAAAACAATAAAATAAAAGAAAAAACACTTGGGTATAAAGTACTTAGATAATAAACAGTGCATCATAATCCTTCAAAAAAAAAAGATATAATTATGTCATTTTGTTCTTTGATACACTCATCGGCTACTAAGTGAAATAAAGCGTAAAAGATGGCCAAACACTATACAGTGTTTACAGACTATACAGTGTTTAAAATTATATTACACAAGAAAGGACAGCTGGACCAAGAACTTCAAGTTTATCAAATGAAGCATTCATCTTGAGCTTATGTTTTTATAAAGTTATGAGCTGGTATTACAGAAATATTAAGATTTGAAACTCTACTAGTGGACTTTTGGTTCCCATAATTTTGTTTAAAAGCTATGAAAATATGAATCCCTTTCCAATCTGTTTGAGACTAAATTGATTTAATATACTCTACCAAAAAAAAATTACAACAGATTCAGTGCAAAAGCAGACATGAAAATCTAGTTCTCCATTTAGCCAGATGTTAAATTTGAAGAAAATATAAGACCATCCTACTCTTGTCACTCAAATTTTTGCATATCTTTTCCTAATTTTATATTAATAAGTAATTGGATTAATTTTGTTCCTTTTACGCAATGAATATACACTTTAAATTTTTCTCAGTTCTCATGTCTAATAAGTATAATTCACATCAAGAAAAATTCTTTGGGATACTAAAATAATTTCAAATGTGCACAGGCATTCTGGGACTAAAATGTTTTGAGTTCTTCAAAACTTTAGTTTGAGAACACCTTTGAAAAGGCATTAGGTCTCTCTCATCTTTTATATCTCAAGTACTTAGCATATTGTAGATATCCTACAATTATTTGTGAATAAGTGATTGAATAGATAAATAAAAGGAAAGTATTTCAGTATTTTTCTCTCCTGTGTAATTAGTCTCTACTAGAATATTCATCGAATAATAGCGTACTTACTTTGTCTCTTTATATATTGGCCTAGTTCCTGAATGAGTACTTCCAGGGAAAGAACTATCCTTGTGTCATCTTGTATCAACATGTCTAAAACAATGCTGGACTGGACACATAACAGAAAAAGGAATGAATGAATCAATTCCATTTTTTGTGTGAGAGTACTGGAAGAAATCACTTACCATGACTGTTCAAAACTGTTATACTCAAAATATTGAGTACTAAAAAATCAAAAAGTATTCCATTAAGAATGGTCCTTTTTAAAAAGAAACAACTTGCATCAAAGAACTAAAATGGCTCTGTCTTGAGCCACTGAGATGCTCACAACCGAGGCCACCATGTTCTAAGGGCAAGGACTAGGTGCCACTAGGAAGACAGGGTCCTCCTGGGATGGACCATGCTGACCAGGGCTGCTCACACAAATCTCCATCCAAGAACTACCAGGGGAAGCTTCTAGTTCAATCAAAAGGACAGGCAGGATAGATAGTGAGTTCTGTTGGGCACAAAATAGGCACCAAAAAAAAAAAAAAAAAAGAGTCTCAAATGAAAGATACCATGAAGGAGTTAGCTTCCTCATAAAAACCTGTGACCAGAAGAGGTCCAGTGATAGCTAATAAGTGTCAAAATTAAGGGAATGTTTCCCACAAAATTACAAGGAAATTGATATTTTTATTTAAATTTTATCTGAAATTGTTAAGATGGTATCTAAACTAGGCACTTGGTAGTTGGCCTTTTTCATCATTTACTTCAAAATGTCTTTCCTTTGATAGTATTAAGCCAATTTTATTCTTTTAATGATTTCTATTTTACTGTGCCTAGTTGGTCTTATATTTTCAGTTTACCTACTAAAGGATTAATGGCCAGACACTCTTCTATGTGCCTGTAAATGGTGTCACTTTGAGGCAGCTACCCTACATGTAGCTCTTAAGCCCACAGCATGTGTGGAAGGCTTCCCAACTGACTTATCCATGTGCCATTGCCAACTGGATAACAGTGCTACCAAATACTAGGTCCTGAGACAGGTGATGAGAACCAAAGGGGAAAAAAGATACAGTTGGCCAGAAGCATCTCAAACTCCAGTAGTTCTGCCATTTGTGGCAACTCTAACATTATAGGGTCCATGACTTTGTGAAAAGAAAATATTCCATACACTTTATGAATATATGTTATCCTATAAAGAAAGTGTGTTCTCAGTTTATATGCATATGGGGTCATATTTTCAAAAACTAAAGGAACTTGCTACTTAATGATATCATTTTCTCAATCCTATAAAGCAACTGCTCATTGTGTCATTTTAAAAAATATAAACATAGATTTCTATACATGAGGAGACACTTCCAATTCACAGAGTATATCCCGGGTTGCTCTGAACCCACAATTATTTTGTCGACGATAGACAAAAAGGAAGTTTTACTTCTGAAAAAACTTGTGTCACCCACTGTCTGTATTTCTCAACAAAATGTTCCCCTTGTCAATGCTTTCTACAATCCTTCTAGCTAAATATAGACTAGAATGATGCTTTCTTACAAACTAACTGCTTTTCATTAATTCTCCAGTTACCTTGTAGAGTTGAATGCCTCTAAACCAGAAATGCTGTTAAAAACTTTGCCTTCTGAAAGGAGTTTTCAGCCTTACTCAGAAAGTCTCTGAGAGTCAGCAGAGTGAGCCAGCGATAGCCAGGACTCTCCTTGCAGCATTGGATTAGATGTGCTTATGTTTAAATAAGCTTCCAATATAAATTAGAAGAAATTATAACTATTGATAAACATTCAAGCAACAGGAGACAGACTATTACTTTAATATAGGCAGGGAGGATTTTTATTAAAGACTTTACCGTTTGAGGTTCCTCAACAGTTTTCTGTAACCCTTGCTCTGCTTCTTTCTCAGGTGTTTCTGCTTGCTCCTGAGGTGTTTTGAGGTACATTTCTCCCATTAAAGAAATATCCTTGAAGGGCAAAAAATAAACAAAGTGATTCCAATTTTTAAAATCACCGAGGTACATTATTCAATATAACAAAAATGTTCGCCAATTAATCCCTTTACTGAGAAATACCTAAGAGAAATATGAACTGCTCAACATACAGTAAGTAAGAAATATGGGAAAAGGACACATTAATAATATTTTTGTCTGTTCTTTCTGCTTCAGAGCCTTTGATTTTATTGATCTCTATAAATATATTATTAGATGTAATATGACAATTAAGTAATTACATCATGTACTATAAAACTGACATAGGCTGGGCATGGTAGCACATGCCTACAGCCCAGCTACTCCAGAGGCAGAGATAAGAGGATTGTGGTCCAAGGCCACCTGGGCAAAAGCATGAGACTCTATCTGGAAAAAAAAGCAGAAGGGAGTGGCTCAAGTGGTAGAGTGCTTGCCTAGCAAACATGAGGCCCTGAGTTCAATCCACAGTACCACAAAAAAGGGGGTGGAAAAAGGGGGCTACAAATCTCCACATTGGGTATCAACAGGCAAGTTTTTTTGCTTCTCTTCTTCTCAGTTTTATCTCCTTAAAATGGGCATTCAGCTATGACTTTAAGGCCCCTCTTCCTCTTTTAGCTTTTAGTTATGTCAGTTGCAAAATGTGAACACTCATTGTGATTTAAAATCCTTGTTTTCCTACTTTTTCTTTGTTCCATCGAAAGGATCCAACCCATTGCCCATTGGCTTCTACTTCTCTCCTATTGTTATAAACAACTTCAAAATTGGACAAACTATAAGAATAATTCTTTTGGAAATGAACAACAGGCAATTTAGGATTGTGAAACACTGAGAAAAAGGAAGTAAACAAGGTAAGAGCTACAATTGTCCAGGAATTTTTGCCTAGCACAATTCCAGACCATGACACAAGGAGAGAGAAACCAAACAGAGCCTAGACACCTCCCTAAGTTGAAGAGAGAGAAACCAGATGTGAAGGCAAAGATGCAAAACTTGTCAGGCACAGTATGGAGTTGAGGGCACTGTATTGAAAATGAGCTCCAGGAACGTGTACAGAATCCTTGAGTCTTTAGCTGGATAGCAATCTGCAATGGAGACAAAGAAAAACTGCCAGGGAAGAAAACAATTACCAAGGAGCTAGAAGCCACAATTCTCAAAGCTCACATGCTGCTGGGAATCATTAAATTTCCCACCAGACATGATAAATCCACAGTGCATTCATTATAACCCTCCAGAAGGATCATATATTAGTAGTAGCACTAAACGTGCCCTAGAGTAAAGGGTTCTGTGGACTTTAACAGTTTAAAAATAATTCTTGAAAAGATCAAGCTGCTCTTTAAGTAATGTAACTGCTTATTAGAACAAACTCCAGTACTTTTTAAAGGAAGTCAATCAAATCCAGCAATCTACAGTGTAAGATTTGTGATGTCCAACATCCAAACAAAAGTTACTGGACAGATGAAGAACAAACATACATAGTCAGGGAAAAAAAATCAACATCAAAAAGACCTAGAAATGACAGAGATGTTAGAATTAAGATGTAAAGATCGTAAAGTTCTAATTTAAAAATATAAATATTCAAAGTAAAATTAAAATGTAATCATAATGGGAAGCAAATGACATCTATAGACAAAAATACATTATCTTAAGTAAAAATTTCACAGATTGATATTAACAGCAGAGAAGAGATCACATAAAAATGGAATTAACATGAAGATATTACAAAAACCATGAAAAATAAGCACAGACAAAACTGAGCCATGGAGGCTCACACCTATAATCCCAGCAACTTCAGGAGCAGAAATCAAGAGGATTGTGGTTTGAGGCTGGCCTGGACAAAAAACCTGTGAGACCCCCATCTCAACTAATAAAAGTTGTTTGTGGTGACACACACCTGTCATCCCAGCAATGTGGGAGGCATGGACAGGAGGGTGGCAGTTCAGGCCAGCCTGAATAAAAATGCAAGACTCTCTCTGAAAATAAGCAAGAAGGCCTGGAGGCATGTCTCAAGTGGTAGAGGGTCTGCATAGCAAGTGTGAGGCCCAGAAATTAAACCCCAGCACCACAAAAAAAAGAAAAAAACACAGAGACAAGTAGAACTGATCTAGGTTAAAACATCTCCAAAGTTCATGACAAAAACAAGTAGTTTAATGAACTCCAGTACACAGTACCAAGTAGGTTACAATCAAAATAATGAAAACTGAGAATAAAGAAAAATCTTACAAAGATTCAGAGAAACAAACAAACATTAAGCACAAAAACCCAAGAAATTATCAAAGACTAATTATCACAAATTAGTACCATAAGTTTCTTGTCAAAACTTTATAAGACAGAAAACAAAGAAGCAACATATCCAACGGACTAGTACTAGAAGAAAATAATTGTCACACAAAATTCTGTATCTATCAAAACCGACTTTCAAAAGTCAACGTGGAATACATTTTCAGCAAGCACAGAGGGAAAAAATTCATTGAGGAAAACGATGGCACTGGAGTAATTACACTAATTTTGAATATAGCAGACTTCAAGATGGGTCGTTTCATATTAATGAAAGGGCAAAGTAATTCAGAAGATGTAACAGCATGCATCAATGACAGCATAAAACAAAAACTAGCAGAACTGAAAACAGAAAGAGATAAATCTATTATGATAGTTGGAAATTTCAAGTCAAGACCACCTGGCTCCAGAGACTTTGCTCTTCATAATTAGATTAACTAGATAGTAAACGTGAAAGCCTGAAAAGAATTCTTTACAGATATATCATTAAAGTATATAAGACATTTGAGTGAGAAACAGCAAATTCAGAATACTGTTCGCATATGAGGAGAAAAGGTATTATTGAGAAGGTAGTATTGGGAAAAGGTATTATTGGGTCTCTATCTTTAATTTTCCATTTACTTAATCTGAAATGAATATGACAATGAATTAAATTTTGACAAATTTTTGTGATGAGTACTTGTTCTTCCTTTGAAATATTTCACAATAAAAATACTATAAATAAATCTCTCAACACATTTTATATGGGTATATAACAATGTCAAAAATATATAGCAAACACCTTAATATAAAAACCTACTTGGGAGGGAGGGAGGAAGTGGCCCAAATAATGTATACACATGTTAGTAAATGTAAAAATGATAAAATAAAAATTTTAAAAACCTATAGTTTGCCTCACTTGGAAACATAGATGCATAAATCCCAAATAAAATATCTGCAAATGAAATCAAGTGATCTATTAAGAAATAATACATCTCAACGGAGGGAAGTTTTTCCAGAACTGCATAGATAATATATTGATAATTTTGAAATTAACACATTAAGAAAATCTGTATGATCATCTTAATAAATATTCAGAAAAAAGTACCAATAAAGAACAATGCCCTTTCTGAGAAAAAAAGGAGATACAACTAGAAGAAAGCTTTCCTAACTCCATAGAGTGGAAGAAATCAAGGTAAACAGAATCCTGCACCAAACATTGTGTTTCACAAGAGAACACCAGACAGGTCAGAGGCAACTCAATATGAAAAAAATACAAAGTGCCTTAAATAACATAAGGCAATTAGTCACTATTCATAGACTATGTGGCCATATAGGGATAAAGAAAATCAACTAAAAAACTCAACAACTACAATTTCACTCCAGCAACAACCACTTCCGATCCTATTGTCAGAACAAAACTGAGTTATGGAAAAGACAGTATTAATGGCCATTCACTGATGCCTCACGCCTGCAATCCTAGTTACTTGGGAGGCTGAGATCTGGAGGATTGTGGTTCAAGGCCAGTCTGGGCAAGCAGTCCTCAAGACTCCACCTCCAAAACAACCAGAGCAAAATGGATGGGAGGTGTGGCTCAAGTGGTAAAGCTCCTGCTTTAGAAGCGTGGAGAGCTGAGTTCAAATCCCATTCTCACCAAAAAAAAAAAAAAAAGAAAAAGAAATAATGAATTTTTAAACAATTATATTGAGTAGAAAAGGTCTGATTAAATGAGAATATCCTAAAGTAAACTCTCCTAATATCCCAATAAAATAAGTATTAAGGCAAAAATAGGAAAACAAGTGTTCATCTAGTTAGTCCAAGTCACAGGTTTTCTCAAGGATGATTTCTACTCCTTGCTTTTTTTCTGCATATGAACCATACTCTCTTGTTTATTTGCACATCTCCTAATTTATTCTGACAAGGTCTGTAGCAACTCAGAGAGCACTTATTCAATAACAATGAATGAATCTCATTAGGTACAGTGAACTTATTAGTGCTTTTACTTGTCCTGCTCCCATAGTCTGCTCTCTGGTTAAGCAATAGTTGTGAAGAATAAAGATAATAATAAAATAAAGATTTTAATGACTTTATCCCATGTGCATAGGTAGCTTAGCCTGCATGGCAAGAGCTGTGCACACGTTCATTAAAGTCCTCAAAAGCCTTGCATTCCACCCCTGTCTGACCTTTGTGCTCTACACAAGCTGGAAGTGAAAACTAAGTCAAGTTGTAAGCTGCCTGCCTGAGTTGTAAGGTGTCACCTAAAACACAAAGCACCTTTTGGAAAAGGCTGAAAAACATTGGTTCCAGACATTCTAGGAAATCTATGTGTAATCATTAGCTGTTCATTAACCTAACTCACAAAACTAAATGAAAATGTCAAGGTTTGAGACCAGTGTGGGCAAAAAAGTTAGCAAGACACTGTCTCAAAAAAAAAAAAAAAAATCTGGATATGGTAGTACCCATGTAATCCCTACTAAATGGGAGGCAGAGATATGAGGCCAGAAAAACCCTGACATGAAAACCAAAGACATCACACACACACACAAAACCTATAGACCATTTCCCTTATGAACATAGATGTAAAAATCATCAACAAAATTACTGGCAAAATGAACCAGCTGTAAATTACAAGTAGCCAAGTGGGATTTATCCCAGGAATGCAAGGATGGTTCAACATATAAAAATCAATTGGTGTAGTATACCACATTAAGAGAATGAAAGAAAGCACTAACAAAACATCACCACCT